TACTACTACTACTACTACTACCTGTACTACTACTGCTACCTTCACTACTACTACTACTGCTACTCCTAGTACTACTCATACAACTACTAATACTACGACCTCTACTGCTTCTGGTACTACCATGATTACTATTACTATGACTGTCACCACTACTATTACTACTACTGCGACTACTACTACTACTTACTACTACTACTGCTACCTCCACTACTACTGCTGCTGCTACTACTACCACTACTACTACTACGACTACTACTACTACTACTACTACTACTACTACGACGACTACTACTACTACGACTACTACTGCTACTACTAGTACTACAAGTACCTACTACTACTACTACTACCACCACTACTACTACTACTACTACTACTACTACTACTACTACTACTACTACTACTACTACTACTACTACGACTGCGACTGCTACTGCTACTGCCACCTACTGTTATTATTACCCACTACGACTACTACTAGTACTGCCTCTGCCTTTACTACTACTACCACTACTGCTTCTGCTACGACTACTACTACTACTACTACTACTACTACTACTACTACTACTACTACTACTACTACTACTACTATTACCACTACTTACAACTCATAGTATTATGGCGACTACTACCACTATTTGTGCCCCCGCTACTACTTCTACCGCTACCACCAATTCTACTTTCTCTCTTACTACTACTACTACTACTACTACCACTACTACTACTACTACTACTACTACTACTGCTGCTGCTGCTGCTGCTGCTGCTGCTGCTGCTGCTGCTGCTGCTGCTGCTGCTGCTGCTGCTGCTGCTGCTGCTGCTGCTGCTGCTGCTGCTGCTGCTGCTGCTGCTGCTGCTACTGCTACTGCTACTGCTACTGCTACTACTACTACTATTATTACTACTACTCCTACTACTACTACTACCATCATTACTACTACCACGACCACGCCCACGCCCACGACCATTACCACTACCACTACCACTACCACTACCACTATCACTACCACTACCACTATCACTACCACTACCACTACCACTACCACTACCACTACCACTACCACTACCACTACCACTACCACTACCACCACTACTATTACGAATATTCTCAATACTGCTATTACTACTACCGCTGCCGCTACCATGCCCACTACCCTTACTACCAGTGCTCCTACTAGTTCTAGTAGTTCTACTGGTGTGGAGAGAGTGCCAAGCCTGCCACGCCCCGCGACCCTGGAGACCGTGGTGAGGGACCACTCCCTGCGCACACCTTGTGGTGTGGAGAGAGAGCCACGCCTGCCACGCCCCGCGACCCTGGGACGGATAGAGACCGCGGTGAGGGACCACCCCCTGCGCACACCTTGCGGTGTGGAGAGAGTGCCTCGCCTGCCACGCCTTACGAATCTTGCGCGCGTGTGCTGCGTGATGTGCGTGTCATGTGTATGATGCGTGTGCGGCTGTATCTGGACGTGTATCTTACGTGGGTGCCGAGTATGTGTCATGTGTATGATGCGTGCGCGGCTGTATCGGGGCCTGTGTCTCACGTGGGTGCTCAGTATGTGGCGCATGCGTCGGGGGAGCCAGGCGTTTGGCGTTGTTAGCGCGCGCGCGTGTGTGTGTGTGTGTGTGTGTGTGTGTGTGTGTGTGTGTGTCTGTGTGTGTGTGTCTGTGTGTGTGTGTGTGTGTCTGTGTGTGTGTGTGTGTGTGTGTGTGTGTGTGTGTGTGTCTGTGTCTGTGTCTGTGTCTGTGTCTGTGTCTGTGTCTGTGTCTGCGCGTGTCTGCGAGGGTGTGCGTGCGTGCGGCTGCATGTAGACGCGTTTCTCATGTATGCGTCGTGCATGCGTTGCGCGCGGGTGAGGGGAGGAAGTAAGATGAGGAGGAGGGGAGGAGGAGGGAGGTGAGCGTCGCGCGTGCGTCGCGGCAGAAAAAAAGCCAGAACCCCACCACGCATGTGGCGAAAATCATTTCTGTTTCACGCTTCCAGGTCAGTGCCCCCGGATCTCCCCGACCGCTTTCCAGGGTGGCCCACCAGACGTGGCCCGTCAAACGTCGGCCCCACACGTGGCCCCCAAACGGGACCCCCAAAGGGGGCCCCAAAACAAAGCTTCCGAGGGTCGCCCCTACTGCCCTAGTAAGCGTGGCTCCCGAACGTCAACCCCACGCGTTGCCCTCAGGCGCCCCCAAACGTGGCCCCCAACACACAGCCCCCAACCATTGCCCTCAAACGTGACCGTCACATGCGCCTCCGAAGGTCGCCCCTACTGCCCCAAGGACGCCAGAGCTGCTCAACTTCGACGAGCTGGTCACCCACGGTGTGCGAGTCCCAGGCTCAGCACGCCGTGGATTTAATCCACGGGCTCACACTAGTCAGCTACAGCGCTGGGACCAGCGCGTGCGAGAAAAGCGAGCAGTGGCAGCGGGCGCTTGTGCTGCTGAGCGAGATGTGGGAGGCGAATCTGGAGCCCAACGTCATCTCTCCTGCATGGCCAGGGGAAGCGCGTGCAGGAAGGGAAACGGATCAAGTGTCCAAAATTGGCCTCGGCGGGCCCCTGGCACGGCCTCGGCGGGCTCCTGGCGCCCCTGGCGCGGCCCTGCGTGCCTCTGGTCGGCTCGAGCAAGCTTCGGGACGCCTTCAGGGAGCGCCGAGATCGGGCCAACAGCCCCAACACGGCTCCAGGACGGCCCAAGAGGCCGTCCAGACGGCTCCCGGCGGCCAAAATAATGTTTTTGTTGAAATGGATTTTGCTTGATTTTCAGGTTCTCGCGATTTCGAGCTCAGAGCGGTCCAAGACGGCTCCTCGGACCTCACGAATGCTCAAGGCTCAAGAGGCTCCGGCAAGGGCCGTAAGACGGCTCAGGGGTGCTCCAAGACGGCTCCCGGAGGAGCCCAAAACGGCCCAAGAGAGACCCACGACGGCGCGAGAGAGTCCTCAGGAGCCCCCAGACGGGCCCCAAGAGCCGCCCACGTAGATAGAACAGCATATATCGCACCGAGCGGCAGTCGGCGAAACGGCACCTGTACTAGTTCTGCTCCAGCTGGGTGAGGCTCATACGCGCAAGCATGGCGACGAATATCGCTATATATACACCTATGTGCGCATGTGTAACCAACGTGGACCCAAACTGCTTGCGTCAGGCGCCGGCTGGGGCGGACAACTCCTGCCCCCCTGGACAGACAAACGCCAACAATGCTGAGGGCCCACCCAGGCCTGCATCTCTTATTCGGACCACGGGGCGGGCCGACAAAGGAAAGCGGGCCAGAGAAGGAACAAAAGCGGGCCGAGGAGCGAGGAGCCGAGGAGCGAGAACGAGACGGAGGGGAGGAGGACGACAGGAAAGGACAGACCAGGCCGACGGGCAGGGAAGGGGAAAGGGCGAGGAAGGGGAACAGCGCCAAGAGAGCGAGGAGCCGAGGAAGGAGCGAGGAAGCGGGCCCAAAGAAGCACCAAGACGTCAGCGCCTGCGCCCAGAAAATTGCAGGCCGCCGATCGGCTGGGAAGCGGGCTTCGCAAGGCCTTCTCGCATAAAACCCTAAATACATGATCAAACTCGCGTTGAAGGAGAGAAGTGAAGGAGGAGGAGGAGGAGGCGCAGGAGGAGGGAAGGAGGGAGGGAGGAGGAGAGCCGCCCAAGAGGGCTCACGGAGAGCTCCGAGACGGCACAACACCTCCCAAATTGCCTATTCCAGAAGAGCTCCAAGATTAGGGGAACAAGAAATTGCATAAAAAACTCGGAGGTCCGCGCGGATTTCGCGGATCCGCGCTGGACCCCCTTCCCTGGCGCGCGGAGCGCGCCAGTGGCGGCGCGGGAGGCGCCGCCAGGGGGCCCCAGCACGGATCCGAGAAATCCGCGCGGCCCTTGGAGTTTTAATGTTTATGTCGTAAATGCTTCGTTCCCCCCGAAGATGGCCGAGGAGGCGCCCAAGGCCCAAGAGGCCCCGAGCCGGCCCGGGAGCTGCCCGAGACAGTCCCAAGACGGCCCACGAGGCACCCAGGGTGGCCCCCAGAGGCCCCCAGGATGCCGAAAAGACTCCCAAGAGCCCCCCGAACGGCTTCCAGGAGGCACCCCCCAGGAGAGGCTCCAAAGCTGCTCTCCTCCTCCTCCTCCTCCTCCTCCTCCTCCTCCTCCGTCTCCCCCTCCTCCTCCGCCTCCTCCTCCCCCTCCTCCTCCTCCTCCTCCTCCTCCTCCTCCTCCTCCTCCTCCTCATCCTCCGAACAGCTTCCAGGAGGTCCCCAGAAGAGGCTACAAAGCTGCTCTCAAGACACGGGCAGCGGACGAGAGGCGAGAGGCTCATCGCTCGCCCGAGGAAGTTGTTTTCCACGCTCTGAGGGCCCTGGCAAACATGAGCAACTCGCAAGACCTGCAAGCAAACATCAAGCAAGCATCACGCAAACGGCAAGACGGTGCAGGCTGAGCAAATCACGCGCGCATTGGCAATGGAACGGCAGCAAGAAGCCGAGCTCAACAAGCGACAGCGGGCACACGGTGACATTCTTGCTTTCGTAGGCAGAGCCGACGGGCCAGCCCTCGAAACTTTGCAACCCTCTAAGTTTGCCCCAGGACGCTCCAGACGGCTTCCACGACGGCCCCAAGCCGCCCCAAGCTGGCTCCAGCACGGCCCCAGCGACGCCCAGGCGACCCAAGAGAACCCCAAGAGAGCCCGAAGAGCGGCCCAAGGGGCCCAAGACGGCCCCAAGACTGACCGAGAGGCGCTCGAGTATAGCGCCGCGACAGCCTAAGAGACCCTCACGCGGCAAACAGAAGCCCCCAGAGGCCCTGGTTGCTTGTGCTCTTGGAAGCGCCGTCGTAGAAACGACGATTGGCACACTGGAACATCGAGGGGGAGAAGGGTGGATGGACGGAAACAAAGGATGAGGATCCAGCAGCAGGGAGCAGAAAGAACGGCGAACAGCAGCTGCAGGAGCAGCACCACGCGTTCACCAGACACCGCTCGCCACCTCGAGCAGCTGTCGTGGACGTAGTCCACGGGTCTGCCCCAGTCAGCTACAGCGCTGGGATCAGCGCTTGCGAGAAGGGCGAACAGTGGCAGCGGGCGCTGGCGCTGCTGAGCGAGATGCGGGAGGTGAAGCTGGAGCCTGGCGTCATCTGTATTACAATTCCAGGCGAAGCGCGTGCGAGTACGAGAAGCGGTGGCAGCGCCCGGGGCCGCCCAGAGAGCCCGCGGGCCGCCCGGAGAGCCTCCGGGGCGCCCCTCGACGGTCCCAGGAGGCCCCTGGAGCGCTCGCCGACGGCTCCAGGACCCCATATCGAAATCAGACGGCCTCACAGACGCCCAAGAAGGCCGAAGCCGACCCGACTGGAGCCCCATGACGGCCCAAAAAGGCCTCCGAGACGGCCCCCAAGGACCGCGCGGACGGCGCCAAGAGGAAATATTTGTGCGTTTTCCTAAGGTTTCGAGGGTTTTCCTGTTCCCGTCATTTCGGGCCTACAACGGCCCAGGATGGCTCCGGGGGCTTCCCAGATCGGCATCTCCGCCTTTCCCCGGTAAGCTGGTCCATACCCGGTCCGGGGAATGGGCCAGTTTGCTGGTGTCTTTTTTGCAACTGTTTCACACGGGGTCGCCCCGCAAAGTATCCAGAGCAGACTGTTGGACTTATGTGCAATCATTTGGTTTCCGAAGAAAGACGCCGGGGAATGGACCAGTCGGCGCGTGCGCGCGCCTGTGTGCTGCGTGTGTGTGTGTGTGTGTGTGTGTGTGTGTGTGTGCTGTGTGTGCTGTGTGTGCTGTGTACGCGTGCTCTGTGTGTGCGCTGTGTGTTTGCAGTATGTGCGGTGTGTGTGTGCGCGCGGTGTGTACGGTGTGTGTGTGTGTGTGTGTGTGAGGCTTGTGTGGTGTGCGGGGTGTGTGCGGTGTCCGTTGTGTGCGCGGTGTGTGCCATGTGCGCGGTGCGTGCGGCGCGCGCGGTGGTGCCGTGCTGTATGGTGCACCTTATGATGTTTTATATAGCGCTACCTTTGGCGTACCTGGGAGGGCCTCCTGGGGAATCCCAGGACTCCGTGGGGATTCTACCAATCGCCAGATTCCTGAGAGGGCCTCTTAGGGAATCCCGTGCGGCGCGCGCCGTGGTGCCGTGCTGTATGGTGCACCTTCTGATGTTTGATACAGCGCTACCTTTGACGTACCTGGGGGGGCCTCCTGAGAATCCCAGGGATCCCCAGGGATCCTACCAATCGCCAGATTCCTGAGAGGGCCTCTTGGAGAATCCCACGAAATCTGTAGGATCCTACCAATTCCCAGATTCCTGGAAGGTCTCCTAGGGAATACTGATTGTTTGTTTCGGGATCCCACCAATTGCAAGATTCCTGAGATGGCCTCTTAGGGAATCCCAGAAACTCCTAGGGATCCTACCAATTCCCAGATTCCTGGGAGGGCCTCCTAAGGAATCCTAAGAACGCCTATGGATCCTACCACTTGCCTGATTCCTGAAAGGGCGTCTGAGGGAATCCTACGAAATCTCAAGGATCCCACCACTTCCCAGATTCCTGGGAGGGCCTCCCAGGGAATCCTAGGAATTCCGTGGGATCCGACCAATTCCGAGATTCCTGAAAGGGCCTCTGATGGGATCCTACGAAGTCTTGGGGATCCTACAAATTCCCAGGTTCCTGGGCGGGCCTGCTGGGGAATTTTAGGAATTCCTCAGGATCCTACCACTTCCCAGATTCCTGAGAGGGCCTCTTAAGAAATGCTGGGAATTCCTGGAGATCCCACCCTTTCCCAGATTCCTCCGAGGGCCTCCTGGGGAATCCTCGGGATCTCTAGGGGTCCTATCAATTGCCAGATTCCTGAGAGGGCCCCTTCAGGAATCTGAGTGCTCGGGGCAAACCGGACGGATAACTGGAAAGAGCAGTCGGAGGTAACATGTTCCCAAACTAAGAAGATGCGTAGATCCCGCTCGGAGATCTGGCAAAACGCAAGCAATCTTAGATCCATCAACCTTGCGCAGGTACATGTACGTTGCGCATTTGCATCTACGCCTACATATTTGTATTCATAGGCGCACACACATGTATACACATGCACGTGTACGTGCACATGTATATGCATATGTATAGGTATGTGTGAATGTACATGCATATGTGACCATCTACGTGGGACGCATGGTTAGGTATATGTATGTGTGTGGAAACATATAGATCTGTACATGCACATTTTCATATACAAATTCATATTCCTATAGATGTATATATGTATCAGGCTATACATGTGGATTAACAGGTGTGCACACACACACATATATATATATATTCATACATACATTAATATACATATACATATATATAGATATCCCGGCAGCCAAGCCTGCATTGCGAACAGCCACCGCGCGAACCAACCAACCAGCCAATCAGCCAGTCAGTCAATCAACCAACCAACCAGCCGACCAGTATATACATATACACGTGTATATACATATATGCATATCAATTCAACGATTCAGCGAACCAACCAACCAGCAACCAACCAGCCAACCAGCCAACCAACCAACGAGCCAACCAGCCGAGAGGCCTCTCGGGAGGCCCAACACGCCTCTCGGGAGACCCAAGACGCCCCTCGGGAGACCCAAGACGCCTCTCGGAAGGCCCAAAAGGCTTCTCTGGAGGCCCAAAACGCCAATCGGACGGCCCCAGAAGCCTATCAGGAGGCCCAAGACGCATCTCGGCAGGCCCGAGACGCCTCTCGAGACGCCCAAGACGCCTCTCGGGAGGCCCAAGAGTTTTTCTCGGGACGCCCGAGGGGCTTCTCGGGACGCCCGAGGGGCTTCTCGGGACGCCCGAGATGCCTCTCGGGAGGCCCAAGAGGCTTCTCGGGACGCCCTCCAAGCCTCTCGGGAGGCCCAGGACGCTTCGCGGGAGGCCCAAAACGCCTCTCGGGAGGCCCGAGAGGTTTTCTCGGGACGCCCGAGAGGCTTCTTGGGACGCCCAAGAGTCGAGAGTCTCCAGGAGCTCCCCAGCGAGCCCGAGAGGGTCCCAGGACGGGCTCGGAGGGCCCCCACGAGCTCCCACGGAGCTCCCAGGGGACCCCCACGAGGGCCCCGAGGCCGCAAAACTATAGATATGCTCCAGGGTTTTTGACGTTTACGGTGGTGCTCCTCCCGCCCGCCCACCACGGCACCGCGGGCATCCGAATCGGGCCCATGCTGCCCGGGGGGGCCTCCAAGAGAGTCCCCAAGACGGCCCCAGAGGCCCCCGATCGAGCTCCCGGGGCCCCCAAGACGGCCCAAGAACCCCCCCAGACGTCCCCAAGGGACGCCCAAGAGGGTCCAGTTCGGAGCGCTTCCCCTCCCTCCGGGCCCCTCCACGGCCAGCAAGGCTCAAAGACGCCCCCCAGAGGCCCCCAGAAGGCCCCGGAGGCGCTCCTAAGAGGCCCCCGGGCGCTCTCCAGAGGTTCCCAGAAGGCTTCAGAGGCGCCCCCAAGAGCTCTCAAGAGGCTCCCAGAGGCTCTCCACAGGCTCCCACAGAGCCCCACGAGGACCCCCTCCCGGGTATCGGAAGGCCCCCCCGCCGCTTCCCCGATGCCTCCGCTGGGAACAGCCTGCTACAGCACGCGGCACTGCTGGCACGACAAGCCGCATGCTGGACAGGAGGAAGGGGATGAGGCGGAGGAGGAGGGCGAGAGGAGGAGGAGGAGGAGGAGGAGGACGACGACGACGGCGACGACGACCACGACGACGACGACGACGACGACGCCGACGACGACGACGAGGACGAGCACGAGGACGAGTTGCTGGAGCTGCTGCTGCAGCTGTTGCTGCTGCTGCTACTGCCGATGGTGCTGGATCTGCTGCTGCTGCTGCTGCTGCTGCTGCTGCTGCTGCTGCTGCTGCTGCTAGCGCTGCTCCAGATGCCGTCAGGATCATCAAGCAGACAGCGCACCCTGAAGCAATAAGCAGCAACGAGCGCACGCTCAATGCTCTGGCATTCGTGGACGGTAGTCCACGGGCCAGCCCTGGTCAGCTACAACGCTGGGATCAGCGCGTGCGAGAAGGGCAAACAGTGGCAGCGGGCGCAGGCGCTGTTGAGCGAGATGTGGAAGGTGAAGCTGGAGCCTGGCGTCGTCCCTCCTACAGTGCAGTGTTAACCGCTCGCCAACGTGTCGAGCAGTGGTAACGGACCCGGCCCCCTCTCCGGCGGCCACCGGCGTGGCCCCAGGACCCCGGCGCGCTTCCAAGATGGCTTCAGAGCGCTCCGAGCCGCCCCTGGAGGCCCCCAAGATCGGAAGCCGGGCAAGGGCTTGGCCGCTAAAATCGACCTCCGGGAAGTTGTCTTCGTCCTTCCGGGAAGAAGCCCGTTGACTGTTTCGCGTGCCGCGCCTCGTTCCGGGAAGTTGTTTTTTCCTTCCGGGAGGGCCGTCTTAGCAGCCACAGTTTTAGCAGCCCTCGCCCAGCTTCCGACAAGAGGGCCCGAAGACGGCCGAAGACGGTCCCAGAGGGCCTCCGAGACGGGCCCCGAGCGCTCGAAGGCGCCTAAGACAGCCGCCCGACGGCCCAGGAGGCCCCCCAAATGCTCCGAGTGGGCTCCAGAGAGGGCCCCAGGAGAGCCCGAACAAGGAAAAACAGTAACAATCCTCAGGGGAAACGTGCATTTCGGGAGTTCCCATGCTTTTCTTCTTAGCAGCGTCACGGCCACACAGGCCCTCAAGATCGTCCCAAGACGCCTCAGGAGGCTGCCAGGAGGGCCCCAAGACGGCTCAAGACTGCGCCAGGACGGCTCCTCAGGCGCCAATGGCGGCCCCAAGAGGGGGCTAATAGGACAGTGTGGGAACGCTCCCGAGGGGCCCCAAGAGGGCCCCGACAAGGCCCCATGACGCATGTACTTTGGTGCGCTTCTCGCAAGTCCATAAAGCATATCAAGTACATGCGGTTTGGGGCCTTCTTGGGGCCCCCTGAGGGCGCTCTTGCGGCCCTCTGGAAGCCTTCGGGTCCCTCCAAATGAGGACCGGACGCATTCTGCCACAGAAAGGCCATTCGTGGCGTCCTGGTCG